ACAGACTGGGAGATAAAAAGGTCATAGGGTTCTATATTGAAGATCCAGAAACAGAAATATACTACTGTATATCTAATCACAACAACTTGACGAACGCAAAACCATTCGACGCCACGAGGACCGAATTAAAAAAAAAGGCAAGAATTACTGGCACAACTATTCAAAATTCAACGTGTGGATTCAGACGAATGTAGAGAGGAAAGTGAAACTCTGGAGCACTTTCTTTGTCATTGTCAGGAAGTTATATTATTCCGGATATAAAAATAGAGTGGAAGAAAGAACGAAACTCTGCTGTACCCCTGATTTTATCTCGAAGTCGTCTGATGAGATTCCATATACATATAACAACTCCTATAGAGCATTTCCAGAGAAAACACGATATAAATAAAGAAAAGTTATTGGTCTCTATATACATATGTACGTGACGAGATAGATGTTAGCCAAATCATTCATAATTTTGTGAAGTTCAGAACAGATTGTTACTGGCCGATAATGTTCAAGGTTATTAGCAATTCCCTTTTATGGAATTGGCTTCACATTAGCAAACTTTCATCATACAGGAAATTCTCCGGCATGGTAAGGAATACTAAAAGGATTAGGTGATAGTGCTAGCGCCGAAAAGCGCGGCTGTAAGATTAGTACTGGAATGTAATCCAGGAGATGTAATTGTGTTGGAATTTCTTCGAAAGAATGTGTTGGTATAGTTACTAATACTTTTATCACCTCAGGCAGTGGTTGCTTGCTTTCCGGAAGCATGAGTTACTCTTTCACGCTTTTAAAACCTCCTAACTGCTAGAGTTCGAAAGAATGTATTCGGAATAGTTATTAATACTCATTACAGCTCGGTTGATTGTTTTCCGGCAAGCTTAGGTTACTTTTCTCATTTTATAATGGCATACGAAGATCTCACTTTATGCATAGCGATTCTGTAACATTTCCGAAGAAATACATCTAGGCCACTATCGGGCCTATTGTGCGCTCATTTTCATGGATGAAAAATGTTTGTTGGTAAAGTGTTCACTGAATGTATTATTTTTCAATGTTCAAAACTATGTTTCCTAGTCGTAATTCCTAAGAATTTTCCAATCTGTGTTGGTGAGGAACACTGATTTAAAAAACTATGTATATTTTTTAATCATTCACTCCTTTGTACTCGGTTGAAAAGTCTATAATGATGCATAGCCTATCATGATGTCTAGTCTATTATGATGCTTGGTCTCGATGAGGACCTCCTTATTTGATAATTGTCGTACATCTAGAGTTTCAACGAGTATGTCTCGTCAAATGACCTTGACATTCTTTGACCATTCGCCATTATCGGATCATCCTCGTTACGTATATGTTCATCCACTGACGTTTTCATGATCTTCCCAACTTCTATAATTGCATTATTCCAGAATTCCTCAACTGACCTGATAGAGTTTTTAAGATCACATCTTAACTATTCGGAGTCATCATATGTACTAATCATTTATCCCGCAGAATATTTTCCTATGAAGTGAATTTCACTTGTTTCTCTTATTGCTTAACGATTTGGTATAGCCTCGGCAATCATAACCTTTAGTCTCCATGAGGTTTTCTTTATATGATAACGGTCCATTATGGATGGTAATCGATAAAATACTGGCCAGAGTTAAGATGTGTTCTCATTCCATTGATCTTTCTTTATTTAGTTAGGCTTGGTCGCTACAGATACTGAAAAGTTCTATCTCTTCATACTTCCTTGCAAAAATTGAGACTACTTTGCACATGCGTGATTACTCCTCAAAGGATTAGGACTAATCTAAACATATGAAAAAGCATACTCCTTTTAACATTGCGATTTAGGTGAGGACCACGTAATTCATCCATGCATGACAGCAGAGTAATCCATTAATGTTTACAAGGGAGTAGTTTTGGGATTCCCTAAATGGATCATGTACTTCAATAATTTTAGTAGGGTTTCTATTCTACAAGCAGTTTCCCTTATAGTCATGGACACTAGATTTTAGGGTTTCTACGGTCTAATACATCGTTATAAAACTTCAGTTCTTTCCGATTGTGCTGCTAATTATATAACTGTTCGTTAGTCTTCGTTCTCTCTATAAAGGTTTATTGGTCTCCGAAACCCACCTGAAGTGTTTCTAGTTTATAAAAATTAAGTCCTCCCTTTTAGTATCGTAATAGTTTGGCCCTTGTTTATCGGAAAACTAGTCAATCTTTAGCTGATATACTCAATACTACCCCTCCATTGAAAGTGAAATTTTAAAAAGATTATTTAATAATTTTCAAAATAATATAATTTATTAAATAAAATCCACAACAACAAAAAATAAGTAAAATCAGTGCCTCAGTTTAATTTACCACTAAATAAAATTTCTAGTAAAAAATAGAGTAGTCGGTAACACACAGGAATTAAAAGCTAATCACCAGAACACATTTTGTTTGAAGGGGTGCGTTAGTTTAACGATCTACCGCAGTTGAACCAACCACTCATACATAATAGTAGCAGTACTTAGTGTTTTCGTGCAAATAATTTGTTATTGTTTTCGTTTGTTTTTAGTTTATTTGTTTCACACAGATCATGACACTCTTTTAAATAGTTCTTATTAGAAATTTAGATAAATATACTTGCATACCACTACACAGTGTTTGATATGAAATCATTAACATGAAAACATTGATATCAAACATGCTTCTCTTGAATGTTAGTTAGTCCAAAATTAGTTACCCAGCAAACAATATATATATAGATGTACTAAAATATATCAGTGAACTAATGTGATGTATTCCGGTCTGATTCCTAAACCGATTATCATTTCAACTTTGACAGGTGTTTCCCACAAGCACAGCATGTACTTCGTATATATTTTTTCATGGCTACATGACCAGCAATGTCTCGGTCCAAAAACCAGAAGACAACTTGGTTTCAATTACTATTGCTTCCATTAAACGGAACAAGATAAAGTCCAAAATGCAGTTTAACAAGAAATAAAAAAGTCGAATCCCAGATTTCTGGGACCCAGACTCCTCGTTATCGAATCCAAATCTCTTACCTTTGAGACATTATAAAATCAGGAAGACACTTTTATTAATTAAATTTGTTTTGTTGCCTGAAATTCTAATCTGATGAAAGATAACTAAATTTAGAAAACTATTAGAACCAAATAGAATTCTACTAGCTACCGTTTGCTGGGTTAATATATAGAAAGAGTGTGTCACTGATTACGTTGTAGAGAATTTCATAACAATTTCTGCATGTGTGTTTGGCGGAATATCTGTGTGAGAGTGTGAGTTTACGCGTATAACAATGACTTTGAAACATTTAATTTATTGATGGTGATGATGGTTGCTTTTTGTTTTATTTACAAAAATTTTCTAACGAAAATACAAACAAAACATGAAGAAAAATACATTTATACATTAAATAAATAAAATCGTTAAAAAAATGACAAATATCCATGAACACACCAAAAACATAATACATTTTCAAATACGCAGCCAACGACGAATACTTCAAAATAAGAAAGAACAAAAACAAACTAACACCCATTTATTTGCTCAATATCGGCCAACGGGTCCGTCTGACTTACTCATAAATTGTGTCGGGAAAATTATTTGTAGTATAAATGTGTGGTTGGGTGTATCTCTGTCTGTACCCGGCAGTTTTATTAGGACAATAATTTGTAGATAGATAGGAGATAGTAGGAGAGATAGATAGATTAGATAGATAGATAATAGAGATAATAATAGATAGATAGATATAGATGATAGATACATACAATACATACTACATACATACATCATCCATACATACTACGAATACTACATACATACATACATACATACATACTAACATACTACATACATCATACATACATACATACATAATATATAATACATACATACATCATACATACATACATACATACATACATACATACATACATACATACATACATACATACATACATACATACATACATACATACATACATACATACATACATACATACAGACATACATACATACATACATACATACATACATACATACATACATACATACATACATACATACATACATACATACATACATACATACATACATACATACATACATACATACATACATACATACATACATACATACATACATACATACATACATACATACATACATACATACATACATACATACATACTCATCTCTCTTCGAAGCTCCCTTCCCTTTATAGTAAGTTCATTCGCTCTTTAATGGCAGATTGCCTCCGAGTTTCCGATGTACAACCTTTCACGGAAAGCTATTAAGTTATGGCTCTTTTACGGTCCAATACTTGTCCAATACTTGTCCAATACTTGTCCAATACTTGTCCAATACTTGTCCAATACTTGTCCAATACTTATCCAATACTTGTCCAATACTCTACATTCGATAATTCTTTGTGTCCAATAAGAATACATCGCATCATACTAGCCTCGAACTTCATTCTCAGATGCTTCTCGGATTTTAATGGTTCTATCCATCAGTCCATTATGATAGGACAGTCATCCGCATGAAAGCACGGTTTTCCGCCATCCGTAGTGTGACATTGATCTGTGATCAATGTCACACAGTTCTCGACAATTCCTATTTCCGTTATGCTATCGGCCATGTCTTGCGTAGAATCGTCCAATATATCCATTATACATTGACGACGAGTCCTGGAAAGGTTTTGGTATACCTACCTACCTACAAAATTGTGGCAAGATGTTCTTTTTATTATGAGTATTGAGCTACCAGAAATACTGCACCTCAAAACTGCCGGGTTTGCCCTAAGAATGTGTGCGTGTATGTTCGTTTTGTTTGTATTAATTTTTTGCTCTGCTTCTATGACAGACCAACAGACATTTGTACAAAAAGTTTTGCTGCAAACACATGGTTGGTTGGGTTGTTAGTAAAACGATAACAACAGTATTCAAACACCAACAATAACAACAACAAAATAATAACAATAATAGAAAAAACGTCAAATTCTAAAACCGGCAGTTAGTTGAGAGAATTCGTTAAGTAAAGACGCTTTTAACGCTTACAAAAAAAAGTGAGTGAATAATTTAGAGAAAAAAATTAAAACGAAGAAAACAAATTAGTAAAATTAAGAAAAAGTTTTAATGTTAATTGAAATTGAAAGAAAATATTACAGAGAGCAATAGGAGCTCCTAACTAAAAAAAACTATTTGAAAGAAACTAATAAAAGTTGTTAATAATTCTAGTGAAACAGTTTTTTAATCAGTGTTAATTAATTTGTGATTTTTTTATGGTAATTATTAAATAAAAAATAGTGAATAAAATAAAAATATGCATAAATTATAAAAATGTCAGTAAAACTATAAAAATTAGAAAAACAGATAAAAGCTAATTACTTTTGTGGTGAAATAAAAAAACAGTTGGGAAATTTTGTGTTTAAATACATTTTGTTTATAATAATATTTTAATTAGTTCTTATTGAACTATATATAAGAAATGAAGATTTTGCTGCATACTTTTGGGTCATTCTTGTGAAGGACAATTAATAGGGCGTGGCTTTTGTGTTAATTAGTGAATTTGTTTTCGAAATTTGCATAAATTTCGCAATTATTTATTTATTTATTATTTGAAATTTCAAAATTTATTTTGAATAAGATTTTAAATTATTCAGTTTGATTAAATGAGGATTTAGGAATATTATTGTTTTATAAAAAAATTAGATGCATTTTGTATTGTTCAAAATATTTCGACAAATTCTATATTTTCTCAAAAATTTTTTTTATAATTTTATTTTACGAAAATTTTTGATAAATTTTTTATTTCTTCCATAAATTTTTTTGTTGAAAAAATAAATTTAAAATTTTTCGGAAAATCGTAATAAATATCGTTAAACTTACTGTTTTTTGAAAATTTATATTTTTTACGATAATTTTTCATAATTTTAAGTTTTTAAAAAATTTACTTAAATTTTTATTTTTTAAATTTAAAAACGAAAATCTCTAATTTTTACAAAAATCATAGAATTCTCTAAATTTTATTATTTTTCGAGACTTATCGATAATTATACTTTTTAGAAAAGTTTCAATAAAATATCTAGTTTTTTTTTAATTAATGAAAAAACTACGAGTACCACAATCATATTTCGGTAACTAAATTCTATTAATAGATAACCCAGCAAAAACTTGGTAATGATATTACTTACACAATAACTTACTTTTCAATCACTACTACATACCGTCTGCATTACTTTAGTCTAATAATGACCTAATGACGTATAATTATATATATATATATATATACTAGATTTGGCTCCTTCATGTAGTAGCTACTACTACTGTAGACACCGACGTTGATACTTTGTTGTTCTTATCAGGGTAAGTCAAGGGAGGTCTAGAATGACCCCCACTTTTTCAGGAAAAGTTTAGAATTTTGGATTTCAAAAATTGTTTATATGGGCTCATTCGTCAATTTACTACCCAATCCTTAGCTTCAAAGTTCTTCAGAGTGCCTTCAGGATCATAACACGACAGTTTAACTCGCTGCTCACGCTCTCTATTGGTAAGAACCAGTACCTTACTGTACTACTCTATTAGCATTTTCCCGGTGGCGTGTCATAATGTCCTTAGACGTTTTGATAATTAAAGTGAGTCACAGGACGTTATAACAATTTCAAAGGTTTTACAAAGTCCCAGAGCAATATGACATAAATTCCGTGGATTTCAAAGAGTTCATCTATCGAAAAAAGGCTTAAGCCTTCTTTCGCGTTGTGCTTCTTTTCTGATCCTCTTCAAATTAGCTTTCCTGGCTTCGTTCCCTCACTCGTAGGATTCTTTAAGAAAGTTATGGATTGATTTTTTCAGTATATGTATAAGAAAAACGGGGAGCTTTTATATACATCTTGGAGTTTTTCTCAATGTTCAGCTCTACGATATATCATTCGAAGTGTCTAGGGATTGACCCAACTGTACCTTTATGGAGTATTTTTTAAACTATGCTATGCTCGTACATTCATCCTTCACATTCATTTTATTTTTTGGGATTCGGAGTCTGAACACTCACCTCTATTTAAAGGCTAAGGTTGCCTACAGCTACCTCCCTATTCATACTTCTCTTTCGCCTCTACATTGAGGAATAGAATAATGAATATAGTCTCTCAAATATCAGAACTTATAGTGAACTGATCCTAGATAGATCTAATAATGGACTGATTTTCATAGTGGGAGCATTTGAGAGATTTTCGGAAGTATGTCTATTATAGGATCTTGGATCATTTGTGTACTGAATGAATGACAGTAAGATAGGATAATAGTAGTGCCATTACAAATAAAACCAAATAACCTCTCAAATAGTGTAATAAATTTTAACAAATTTTCATTAAAGTAATATGCCAAATATTGTAAATAAAATGAAATGTTTATTATTGTTATACTACAGTAATAATACTTATTCTATAAAAAAAATTCCATTGCATGAATAATAATATTTATGGCACATCATCTTGCCATATTTCGAAAATAATTTCAAACAAATGTTTTCAAATGTATAAACCGTATGGCAAATATTATTTAATATTTTAAAGAAAACAAATGTATAACACTCAAATTGGCATTTAAATAATGTTAATAGTGTTTTTTTCAAAATTTCAATTGATTAATAAGGAAGAGGCGAAATGGCAAGCAAAAATTGTGGAGAAGAAATCAACTTTAAATTTCTGAGAAATGATTTCTAAGCAAAATAAAGAGAACAATAAATGGATTATAATTATTCATAATTAAGTTTATAACCTAATTTACAGGGTTAAATTTAAGAAAAACGAATGATAATGTTAGTATGATAATAACATTTGTCTTAAATGGTAATGTCCCGTAGTTATATCATACATTACTTGGTAATGAGTGGTCCTTATCAACGACATTATTTCACAATGTCCATATGAACGTTATGACACACTAAAAAGTGTCATAGTGTCTATGAATGTTATGACACTTTCAAAAGTGTTATAATTTCCATGGACGTTGTGAAAGTTTTAAAACAGAAATTGGAATATTTGTTTCGATTTTAGAACGAAGCAAGTGCTTCATCTTTGTATGAGTATGTTGCATTTTGGATTCCTTTAAAAACTGGTTCTTGATAGCGCGCAGTATTCTCAAACTCTGCGGTATTTCGAATACCGGCCGTTTTTGATCCATTTACTTTATGTCACTTTGATAGAGGACATTGTAACTCTTTTGAAGTGTCATAATGTCCATGGACACTAGGACAAGAAGTCGAAGTGCTTTACGTGAATACCTGCCTTGACGGCCTAATCCCACGATGGTAATTTTCATCCACAGGATGAGCTTTTTTGACGACTCGCTAAAAAAGCTCGTCTCTTTGTGTATCTTACACGCCGGTGCCAATTTTTGTACATTATTCTGCCGATCCCTGTACAAGGCCTTCGCTCAAGTACTCGAGCTATCTTATCTTTGACCGTTGCTGACCCGTTGCTTAACTTCCGAGATGCAAAAACATCACAACCACGCAGATGGGATGGTCACTGTTGAGTCGACAACAGCACGATAGAACGAAACACGAATTCATCAATAAGCCAAGGACTCACAGGGAAATACTATTGTAAATCTAGTATGAAGAGAGTAAATCAGAAACAGACCCATACAATGAAGGAAAATTAAATGGTATCACTTGTATAAGATATCTTACATCCACTTCCATTCATCCACTACTTCTCATTCATCGACACACTCATTAAGAAAAACATCCGACACACTAACTCTGAGTGTACGGGTGGTTATGGTCCGCATACCCCTAGACTTATTCCGCATCGTATACAGTTGACACCAACTCATTTCCCGCGCTTAGTGCCACAATCACTCCTCTGTGGGGTATCTGTTGTCTCGGCAACAGCTACGAATTTATCCCGCGGACTTTACGGTGCATCAGTCTTTTATACAACATTCTCTTTCCATGAATTTGGGTTTAAACCACAACCACCAAGTGCACGCCAAAGGGATCTTTCCAATAACCGGGACAAGACAAAGTCCGAAACTCTGGCCTGTGGGCTATCGGTTACCGCGGTACCAGATTATAAAGCTCCCTGGTCAATCCCAGGTCAAATCATTCCAAGAAAAGGCCGAGGATATATATGACTCCACCAGATGAGAGTCTTTCATCAAGGTAACAAGGACACTTTCAAGTATGTCATAAAGTACATGACCATTATAACACACCATATATAGTCCATTATGACATTGGACACTAAACATCCCGCCATAAATCAATTATAAACATTTAAATTTCTCTTAAAATATGTTTCTTTATGAAAGAGATTTCATTCTCTGAAAAAACAAGTGCTGATGTCTCTGTATTGCATCTTTCATCTACAAGTCCCAACACTGAAAGTAGAAAAGAACGATTTTGTTTATTAAAACTTGATTGTTTTTTATACCCACCATCAAAAAACAAGTAAATTAGTTTGACATTTCATTTGTAACACATCAAAGACTCCAAATTTTAAAATATAGTCCGTCTGTTGATAACGTGAGAATTTTCCATAAATATTTTCGATTTGGTATTAAAAAGAGTAAAATTTATGCACGATTTCATATAGTCACCATACAAATATTTTGATTATACAGCGATTGTAATAAAATTTCAGGAGGATCGATCCATAGTTGACCCTATGGCTCCTCTTACAGAAAATTTCAAATCGTTTCAAAATCAAGAAAAAAATTTTGTACTGACCAAATTCTGTACAGTCCATAATTGACTTAAGACTAAGGGGGCCTTCTGTCTAAAATCTCCTAGATATACCAAGTATGGCAATACAATTCCATATAAAGTAAATAAGAGAAAATATTTCCGCTATAACTTTCGAAGAGATCAAACCAATTCACTTAAATTTTATAAATCCACATTAAATTTACAACAAATGTTTAATAGGTAGTATTTAAGATTCGGCATAGCCGAATATAATATTCTTACTTGTTTTCGTCTTCTTTTTTTTTAACGAAACCTAAAGCTGACTAATCATTCGATTGATGCTTGAAAATATTTCACACATTTTGAATACAATTATTGTTTACAATTTAATATATTAGCAAACAAGTGTTTGTCAATATGATTGTGTGTGTCTGTGTTTCGATTGTTTTTTTAAAAAAAGTTATTTTTAATACTTTTTATCGAATTATATTATTGCATTTATATTTATTACATCATTTCTAGTCTAAATTAATAACATTCACGTGTATAATGCGAAATTTAAAGAAATCAAAGGCTTTTATTTATTAAATTAAG